TGCCTGTGTGTGTGTGTGTGCGTGTTTCTTGTGTAAGCTGAAAGACGCGAAAAATTATTGAAATATCTATTGCTCCAAGGGTTCAGGGGATCTCGTATTCGAGCAGTCTCGACTAGAGCTTTCTTACTTGTTTAATTAATTTGTTTGTTCTATAAATTTTTATATTTCATAAAGCAAGTCTTCTACAGCAAAGCTGGCCTCTCCATTTAATTTACTTTGCTGCTTTTGTGAAAATAAAATCACATTCATTATGAAATAGCTAATTTTTCAGTAAATTCGATTTGCTTGATATGTATTTTGTGCAATTTGCTCCAGTTATGGGAATCTAGTTAAAGWAGTGTGGCTAATTGATGATGATAATTTGATAGGCTGAATGTTTTCCTTTTAGGCACGAAAATCTTTAGCGTGGATGAAGCAATTTAGAACTATTTAAATAGTAGCTCTAAAAAACGAAATCGAAGCAAAATACAAGCATAAATTTAATAATTCTGTTAAGATATTAAATATATTTTTGTTAAACTGAAGACTGCTCGAATTCGAAATTCACAAAATGTAACAAATTATTTCTTACCCATGTATGTACATATGTTAAGCACAGTCTCTCTCTCTCTTTCTAACATAACATAACATAATAACTCACTTTCGTATAATGTTAATCTCCAAGAATGACACAAAGCTGGCTGTTATGCAACTGCTCAATAAAGATTTGAACACTCGAAAGAATGTTTGCCTTGGCTAAGAAAACTGCAATTCGTTTTTTATATAAGCATTTTAATTGTATGGGCTAACAAAGGAACAAGAAGAAGAAGAAGAAGAGCAATAATATTATGTAGAAGAGGAAGAAAAGATTGCATTCAAAGACCAGCGGGCAACAAGTGTGAATGCGATGCCAACAATGACAACAACTGCAACATATTTTCCATCGATAAGTGCGTTCGACCGTTACATACACTCATATACACACACATACATGCCCTTCCATACACACTCACATATATATACGCATGCAGAACTAAATCCATATTTTATGATGCAAACATTGGCAAAGAGTCTTGCTCGAATTGCCAAAGGGGAGACTTAAGCCAGGTCAATACGAGCAGCAACTGACCTGAAAATATCCTGTAATTTTTAGTATAGAGACAACTAGCACAGGATATATGCAATTGGAATTGATTTTTGTATGACATAAACTCCCACAAATACCCTCTTTATTTATATATGTATAAATGGAGCAAATCAACTATATGGAATATAGAAATTTACAACAAAAACTTAGCGTAAAGCATACCAAAAATTTCCTGAATAAAAACGTTATGGTATTTAAGCTATAGGACATCGATTGGATCTACTCCAAATTTAAAGACATATTTGAGTTATTGTTCCTATAATAATTTATACTTTGACTCAAAATATCTAAACAAAACTTTTTTTGTACACAAAACAAGTAAAAGAAAACATATACAGTCGAGTCTCTATGATTCGTACCCCGCTAAATCAATAATCGCGATAAATCAAACAAAATTCTATACCCTTGAAAGAAATTCGTTCTTAATAATTCTCAATAATCTATTCCGTATTATGGGGATTCTACTGCATATATGTATATTACTTTTTTTATACCCTGAACCCATTTTCAATGGGAAATCAGGGTATAATGGTTTCGTTGAAATGTATGTAACAGGGAGAAGGAGGCGTGGCWGACCCCACAAAGTATATATATTCTTGATCAGGGTGACGAGCTGAGTTGATTTGGCCCTGTCCGTCTGTCTGTCCGTCTGTCCGTCTGTCCGTCTGTCCGTCCGTCCGTCTGTCCGTCTGTCCGTCTGTCCGT